TACAATCATTTAGCATTTTAACTTCATAGTTGACCTCTGCAAAGGAACATTAGAGAATGGGCCTCTACTGTACTCTAGGGTGTAGAATGAGAAACAGACAGAAAGCTTGCTTACCTTGAATATGGTGTTGGGTAGATAGAGAAGAGAAGAGAGAGAAAGAGAGGGATCAGGAAGGGGAAAGGAAAAGGATGAAAATGAAGAAGGAAGGACATAAAAGGAAAAAGGGAGAGAGAAAGTGGAAAGGAAGAGAGGGAAGGACAGTGGAAATTATGAACATCTTAGGGGGAGTGGGGATATACTTAGCCTGATATAATCAAGAGCTTCTGAATACAGAAGGGAAAAATGACCTACCTCCAATAATTATTGGAATAAGACACAATGGAATTCAACAGGGCTGCCTTGGAAGCATAGCACAGGTGTGGAGACACACATCCTCAGATCAAAGAACCCAAGGAAACCTCAGTAGTAGCAGAATCCCAGTGTCTTCCTAGTTGAGTCACATATCTTCACTGCCACACACTTGAAGCAGAATGCCAAACTATCCAGCGTTTTATCGCTAAAATAAACTGAGTTTTAACTGGTTCATTGAAGGGCTAAAAGTGTTCCTTCATATAATTCATAACACAAAAAAAGACTCATGCCATTCCCAATGTGACCTCTCTCCCTTTGGCTTGTGGATCAAAATGTGAATTCTCAGCTATTCCTGCTGTCATGCCTTGGTACCAACATCATGGACTCTAAACTTCTGAAACTGTAGGGCAATTAAACACTTTCTTTTATAAAAAAAAATAACAATTCATAACAGTTTTTTAAGTTCAGAATCTGAATGCCAGATATAAGATAACAAACCAAGGATCCCAAGATCCTGTACTAAAAGAGGTCAGGCTTTCTTTCAGCTTACCCTTACAAAAATGTTTTTGTAGCATTGGTGATGGGCTTCCTTTCTTTCCACTTCAATTTTACAGTCAAAATGGGAGTGACAGGATGTTGTCCTAAGCAGTTTTACAAAATTGATCATGCAAGACTAATACCAACTTTAATCTTTACTCATTCATCATCATACAAAGTTGAAGTGAAGAGACAAGCTAGGAATTCAGATTCTCTAGGGTCCAAGCAAAATGAGACTTAATGATGGAGGACAGGGCAACTGTTCTGTTCCCATGGACAATACCATGGTCATAGGCTGATGTTGGTGACACCCTGGTGTTCCAGAAGACCTTAGTTTTCTGAAGGCAATAGCATGCTTGGTACAACTAATAATCTTTCTTTAGTTTTTATTGTGGAGGTAAGAAGAAAAGCAAAATCTTAATTGATTGTATGTCTGACAGATTTTTAAATCATGAGAACATACATGCATATATTTTTTGATTTTCAAGCCTAAGATTCAATAAAATTTGTATCATAATCAATATTTTCTCCTTATATTTATTCTTTGTGTCTTTCATATCATGCATTTCCATCCCATTCATTTCCCTGCCCATTTGTATCCAGCCTCTGTACTTGTAACTTCTCCCCAAAATAAAATAAAATAAAATTTAAGAGAATAAAAAGAAAGGAAGGAAGAAAGGAAGGAAAGAAGGAAAAATTAATCTCATCATGGAAGGTGCAGTGTCCCACAGTGAGTCCCACAGTAAACCCTTTTAACTATGTATCTTTACTTGCATGAGTTCATTGCAGAGTCATTGGTCTGGTTTGAGGCCTCTGGTTTCTGCTACACTATTGATGCTGGACTCTCACTGGAATTCCTCTTGGTTATCCTGTTGTTGACCTGTGTTGTGGAAATCTTGCAGCTTTGTGTCTGCAGGACAGGCCCTTCACATGCCCCAGCAGATCACAGATGGGGAAGATGTTGCGGTAGGCCAATCCATAACCCTGGTTCTGGGTCTGGGTAGTTGCAGGATTGGTCAGGCCCTTGTCTTCACCACCAGTGAGTCCCTAGCAGCAATAAGCAAGGGGCTTAGCCAGTTCTCCTGTTTCCATGTCCTCAGGGTCAGATCTCCCACATGTACACCTTCAGGGCCAGTTCTACTCTGTTGCTCAGGCTCTCCTGCCTTAGGACCCTTCAAGCTCTCCTACTCGTACGACCCCAGGGCCAACTCTCCCACCTGTCTCAGGCATTGGTTGAGGATGGAATCTCTCCTGTGCCCATGCAGTCACAGGACAAATGAGTAATGGGAACAGCTCTCCCATGCTCACAACTGAAGGGTTGACTCACCAACTCCTCCACCAATAGGATTGGCTCTATTGTGCTGCCAAGTGAGATGCAGGGCCTGCTCTCCTGAATATTGCATCTGGTGAGGGACAGGGGCAGTTCTCCCACTCTTACGACCTCAGGGCCAGCTCTCTCTCTCTCCTGCCATCACTTGAAAGATAAATAATGGGGACAATTCTCCCATGCTCACAACTTCGGAGCTGGCTCACCCACACCTCCGCCAACAGCTCTGTGTGCTGCCCATGTGAGGTACTCACCTAGTGGTGAGCAGCTGCAGCTCTCCCACCCTCATGACCTCAGGGCCAGCTCTCAAACCTGCCTGCAATTCACGAATTTAACTTAGATTAAATATAAAACTTGTCTGCTTCTTACTAAAGCATCAATTTTAACAAATAGCCTATATATTTGTCTTCAGTATTCCATCATAAACCTTACATTTCCAACAATTTCATATTTCCTTTGTTTTCCTTGCAGTCTACACTGACTTATTTCTACTATATTTTTCCATTTTGTTGCCTGCAATATGCCTGATTTTTATAACCTGCAAATTTTAGGCAAACTATAACAAGTGAACTGTTTAAAGTACTTTGTTGCAGCTAGAGAGATGGTTCAGATGTTAGGAGAATTTACTATTCTTGTAAGTAACCCAGGTTCAGTCCTTAGCACCTAAATGGTGATTTGCAAACATCTTTAACTCTAGGTCAAGGAGATCTGACATTTTCATCTGGTCACCAACTACACTGCATGTAAGTGGCAAACAGACTTTCACACAGAGAATAACCATACATACTTAAGTATACCTTTAGGAAAGTACTTTATGGCCTGATTTCATAAATACCAGTTTTGGCATTACCCAAGGCCTAAGGAAGGGCTGTAATTCAATAAATACAAAAAAAAACTGTTCTCAAATTGAAATTATTTATTGAAACATTTTATTCTATTTATATTATTATGTTTTGCCAGGAAAATAGATAACATGATATTAAGAAAAACATTTGCCCTGCTTTGGGGAAAATAAGTAAATGTTTCAAAAGTATGCCTTTAAGAAAGTGACAATTGAACTAAGAAAAACCACCATAGCCAAACACACTACCTATAGAACTTGAGAATAAGTCTGCTTTAAAATCCATACCTGAAAGGGCCATGACATTAAAGATAGGCTCAAAATTAAAATTAAGGTAGGCTTAAAATTTTTTTAAGTTTTACATTTGACAAATATGAACTACTGTTACCCAATGTTTCCCATAATTAAAGTAAATGAGAAAGCAAAAGCAATTATCTGGTTCATCAAATGATTGATTATGCTGGTCTAAAGCCACCTAATACTGGATTAAATTTTCTCAGAAATTATCAGAGCTGTGTAATGAGGGAGGGGAGATGGGAGACACAGATAAATCAAATAGTATTTCAAGTTTAATGAACATATATTAAAACTCAGGTTTCTTCAGCCACTAGTTACCTGACTTAGGATAAGTTGTATGAAATATATACATATATATATACATATATATGTGAATGTTTGTATGTATGTGTATATATGTATATGTTTACATATGTATATATGTATATACATATGTGTATTATATGTGCACATATACATGCATGTATATATACACACTTGATTTTCAATTTAGTCATCTCTAAAATGGTAGAAATAATATTTTAAATTTTAAGTGACATAAAGAAAAGACATAAAATGTCTGGAGAGCGATCTCAGCAGTTAAGCACGTACACTGTTCCTACTGACAACCAGAATCAAGTGTCTAGCAGCAACTTTAGGCAGTTTCACAATCACCTACAACTCTGGCTCCAAGAGATCAGATGTATTCTTCTGGCCTCTGGGGGGATCTTCACTCATGTGTGTGTGCATGTCTACACACACAAACACACACACACACACACACAATAATTAAATAAAAGAGATTTTGAAACTGCTGAGTATTTTTATCTATTTTTTTTTCATTTTTGTGTTTTTTCTCTGTTTGATATTATAATATAATTATATTTCTCTCTTCCCTTTTCTGTCTCCACATCTTCCCTCCCTCTCAAATCCATATATTTTTCTGAATAATTGTTATTGCATGCATATATATGTTCCTAAATATAACCTGTTAAGTCTATGTAATATTATTTTTATGTATGTTCTCAAGGTTGACCATTTGGCAATGGAAAAACAATTGGTGTGCTCTTCCCTAGGAAAGTTCATTTCTCCAGCTCCCAGCTTTCCTCAATTGCTCATAGTTCTTTGTGTAAGACTGATGCCTCATAGGTGTTTTATCATCTGCTTTGGTGTGTCTATAGTTGTTGTCTTTATTCAGATCATGTTTAAACACTCATGTTGGTGAAGATTTATGTGTATTGTTCCTGATGCTACTAGGAGACACAATCTCACAACAAACTCCCAGATCTTCCAACTCTCACAATTTTTCTGTCCCCTTTTCTACAATGTCTCCTGGATCTTTGTTGGGAGAATATTCTGTAGATGTATCCATTGGAACTGGACTCTACATATCTACAATTTGATTGGCTGAGGTTTTCTGTAGTGATCTGCCTCTGTTACAAGTTGCCTTGATGAAGGGTGAAGTCTAATTTACCTGTGGGTATAGGGACAAATATTTATATTATTCTTAGAGATTGTGCTGGTTTAGAAAACTAGTGGTTGTGGGTTTTCCTTCAATAACAAAGACTTCACTAGCACTGAATAGTTAGCTTGGTTTCCAATACCAAGCATTATATTCCTTCTGTTGAATGGGTCTTCAGTCTACTTAAAGAGCTATTCATTCCTTACCATCAAGGTATGCAGGCCACTACTGCACCTTCAGTGTTATCATGCTATGATGGTAATAGATGTCATTCAGTTCATAGTCACTACAGTTGGTTAAAACTGTTGGTTGACTCCCTCCTTTGGAAGCTTGCATAATGTCTTCTAGAACTTTTCAGGTCACTTCTAGGTCAGAAGTCTCTGAGCCCCATTTGTGAAGTGCATTATGTCTTCAGAAACAGAGACTGATCACAGCCTCTGGGAGGTAACCAAAAGGAACAGCATTAGGCTGCAGTGTTCTGAAAGTTTCTCATAACCTTGACAGACAACTCAAAAGAGAGCTTCTCATGCATCTTGTTGGGCTTTATGTTAGGTGGTCTTTGGCTCTTGGACAGAGTACTGTCAGCTCAGATGAGAAATGGTCATTGAAAATGTATATGTATATTGTGTACAGAATTACATGTGCTATAGGTACATTTAGGTAAAGAGTAAGTAATATGATTGCTTGAGCCTTTTACATATAACATTATTGTCATTTTCTTCTCCTCCTGCCTCCTTTTGTATTGACCTTGCCCTCCCTGAACATCCCCCCATCTCCCCAATCAGATCACTTTTATTCTGCTATTGACATTCCTTCTCCCATGTGCCCACTCCTTGAAATAGAAAAAAAAAATGAATAACACACAACAAATATTTCCAGGTGCTTCCAAATGCCTTAGATTCATTTTTAGAAGACAGGAGAAGATTTATGTGGCAAATAAATGAATTAACTGAGGTAGAGATTTCATGGTTGTGCCAATTTCCCCCACCTCCCTTGTAATGATTGTGTTACCCCCCGCCCGGATTTGCTCATGCTATCCCATATGGAAAACGTCTTTTCTCTGCTGCCTATTTAAATATTACCTATTTATAAAATGCCCAGCCAAGCTCTCATATCTCCCTGATCATTCTGCCTATATAAATATCTCCTGACTCTATTTCTATTTTTTTACTTAATGTTACCATATGCTATCTTGCGTGCCTACATGTTGCATTATTAGTCATTGCGTTCCTATTTTATCTATTCTATCCGTATGCCTAATCTAAAATAATAACTTCTTTTGAGAACAGGAACTAGGGCAGATGCATTTTTTAAATTCCCTTTGTTGTCCTTGCAGGGTATCTCCAGAGGAACAATAGAGAAAGTCTGTGAATGCATAAACAGAAATCTAGTGGATGAACGAATGAATATGTTCGTAGCACAGAGTGCTTCAGAGGCTTTTACCAAATTGTTTCACACCATGAAGCTCTCCAGTTTTCTAATGAGCAAAACAATTTCATTTGTTTATATCTACCTCTTTGACAGAGACTGCCTCCTTTTTCATCCTATGGAAGTTAAAATTATGTTCATCATCATCATCATAAAATAATGTCATATATAAAAGGTTATTTTAGGTCTTATACAGTATTAATGGATTCTATCAGAAATGCTTTGCATCTGATTGTGTTAAAGAGGGGATGTAAGGAATTAAGTTCTGTAGAAGAGAGTATTGTTCTGACAGGGCAGAGAAGGACTAGATACAGATGGAGGCATTCAGTCAGAATCATTTGTTTTTAGGTCCCTTTTAATTTCATGGAGGAAAATGCCTTTCATCTCTTCTCCACACTTGAACAGCAGGTGGGCAGACACTGAAATTTTTCAGGAGACTGAGCGTGTGGGTTAGCCACTTGGAAGAAGTTCAAACGTCATGTACATTACTGATGTTGACAACTGTAATTGCGGGACACGGGGAAGCAATCCTAGCCTGGGTAGAGCTGGCATTTTCCAGGGATTTCTTAGAATATAAATGCTCTGACACTGATCTAAAACCATAGTTCCCGAGGGCTTTGGTGTGTACCACCAAGTGTGAGTCCAGGCTTATATATACAAAAGCTGGGATGGAAGATTTTGCTTGAATAAAATTGAAAGCATCTTACATGTTCTGCCACTTTTCAAATCACCTGCAGGGTCTTCAGTTGGAAAACACCAGATTTGCTATTCATTGTTTCAATATTTCCACTGATGCCTTTGCTTTTCCAGGGTCTAGAAAAAAGTGAAACGTGTTCAGGAACATAATACATAGTTTTGAAAGAATTCAACTGAGGTGACTGTTACTCTTCCATTTCTTATAGCATATAAGATGCCGTATGTGTGTGTGTGTGTGTGTGTGTGTGTGTGTGTGTGTGTGTGTGTGTGTTGAAATAACTTTTAAGTTTCCATTTCTTAACAGTATATATCAGACCAGTCAATAATTATTTGATAAACTCATTCAGAATAAATGGCAATAAGACACCTGGAAGCACAGGAGGGCAAACATGGAGTTAATTGAACCTTCTTGTAAAGGCTTTGGAGTGTGCTCCAGCAAGTGTATGTCATATGTCATCTTGGAAGAAATAAAAATGAGAGCAGGTTGTAACTCCGTGGTAGATTCCATCCACAGCACAAGAAAAGAACTCAGTATTTTCCAGTACTATGGTTCAAGACACAGCCAATCGGTAAGGACTTTCTAAATAGGACTCCAAACTCTCTGGAAATAAGGTCAATAATGAAAAAATGCAATTTCATGAAATTAAAGAGCTTCTTACAGTAAAATGCCCCTTAAATGAAGAGACAGCCTACAAAATGGAAGGTAAATGGCAACTACATGTCTGACAGTGTGTTAGCAGCTAGGATACACAAAGAGCTGAAAGTGCTAAGGGTAAATAAGAAAGAGGCAGTATTCAAATGGCCTTTTAAAGCAAAATAACAAACTTTTCTGTGTGTGGCATATACACAGCCTCCCACAAAGGTTTGATAGGAGAACTAGACACAATAAAAATGTGATAAATATATTTCTTATGGAAATATTATATTTGAACAGAGCACATAGAATCATACTTTAATGGGATTTAACTTTAGTGTCGAAGGATGTTCCTATAAAAGACATGTTGACAGACATGGCAAAATCTGAAAATTTAAGTGGTAAATGAAATGATGAATTTCCCAGGTTAGTGAAATTGATGTATCTACAAGACACTTGAGCGTATTGTTTGAAGGCTGCTTCTGTGGCTCTGGCTTGTGCCTTCTAATTGCAAGTTGCTAACAAAGGTCCACATGGTGTGTGTGTGTGTGTGTGTGTGTGTGTGTGTGTGTGTGTGTGTGTGTGTGTGGTATTGTTGTTGTTGACTTTGGGTCCACATAGTTGACTGTGAACATTTCCTTCCATCAATTTTTCATTGTGTGAATATAAAAGATATTTTTAATCAGGGTGTATTTAAGAGAGGGAGATTCATTGAATACCAGGAAAGTACATTCCAGACAGAGGAAGAGGTTATTAAAAGTCTCCCCACTAAAAAAAAAGAGTTAGAAAAACTAAAGCTCTGAAAGGAGTTTCTGGTTTTAGCATAGTGAATCCAGATGAACAGAAGAATAATTCAAGGTCAAATGGAGTAAAGTACTGGATTTTATTTTCAGCATTGAGTGAAGCCATCACCAACTTTAAGCAATAATCTTCTTTATGATTTCTAAGATCCTTTTGAGTGTGGGATGGAAAAAAAGATTACAAAGGAGTAAAAAGGGCAGTTGAAGCCACTGGAATTGTTCAAAAAATACATGAAGTGATTAGCCAAAGATATTGAAAGACACAGCGAATAAACTTAGCTTGTGTCACAACCTGACATATTGACCAACAGGAAAAGTAAAACAATAGAAGGAACAAAATACTCACGCTGATCCACAGGAAAGTTGTTGGGTGTATAGTAGGCCAGTTTCTTGACTCTCCTCCACCACAAAATGCTTCTGTTGGGTAGATTTTAAAGGAGTAAACTAAAGTGTTAATCTAGGTGATAATGAACAGGGTTACACACCAGTGATCTTAAGCTTTCTCTAAAGGAGAGTCAGAGATACAGATTTGGAAATCATAGAAAAGGCATAGATGATGGTAGTATTCACAAAAAAATGAGTAGTTTACAAAGAGAAAACCCAGCCATCAACCTTTACTCTCTGTAACTTTAAATGTCTGAGAGAAGAGTGGGAAGGCCAAACATGGGGCAAGACTATACAGATGTTAAGGTAAACGATAAGAGTATGCATTGAAGAAACTGAAAAAGAAGAGAATAGAAAGTGCAAGTTCTTCATGAATAGAGTTAGAAAGTGCTGTGTGACTAGTTACTCATGATTATACATACACACACACACACACACACACACACACACACACATGCACACACACAACCACACATAAATACATGCATACACACACGTAATATACACCCTATGTGGCCATGAGATAATATCTTTAGAAAATTGATAACTGAGAAGTCTTAGAGCTACTGAGATTCCATAAAAATAATAATGAAACAGTCCTTGAGGGAACACATCATGCAAATGTTCTTGACTTTAAAATGGCAATGTGTGCCATTGTATATTTTACTTCCACATGTGCCCAGCAGTGTTTCAATTTGAATGCAATTAATGATGTCATTTAAGACACACTGAACCAGGAGGTGGTGGCACATGCCTTTCATCCCAGCACTCAGGAGGCAGAGGCAGACAGATCTCTGTGAGTTCGAGGCCAGCCTGGTCTCCAAAACTAGTTCCAGGAAAGGTGCAAAGCTACACAGAGAAATCCTGTCTCGAAACCTAGCCCCCCTCCAAAAAAAAAGACACACTGAATCTGGATATCCAACCTGATTGCTCATATAAGAAGAATAAAAAAGGAAAGAAAGATGGAGGGAGAGAAGGAAGGAAAGGCAGGGAGGAGAAAGGGAAGGGAGAGAGAAGGAGAAAAGAAGGAACCTTAAGTCTACATTCGACACTGAAAAAATGCTTTGAGTTCAGTGGATTTTTCTCTCCATAAACACTCTCAACCCTATTAGGATCAAGTTTGCACAATTCTTTCTTCAGTAGAAATGTTCCAGATATCTTTGTATAGCCAAGGGATCCAAGTCATCTGAAGAATGATCCTAAACTGCCTTCTTTCCTTCCTTTATCATTCCTGGGCTCAAACTCCAATATAAGTTTTATTCCAGATTTTGGAGAAAATGAAACACTTACTATCTGTAATTGATGTTCTTTTGGGGGAATTATGTCTTGTTTCTAGCAACACACAACCTA